GGAGGGAGGGAGGGAGGGAGGGAGGGAGGGAGGGAGGGAGAGAAGGAAGGAAGGAAGGAAGGAAGGAAGGAAGGAAGGAAGGAAGGAAGGAAGGAAGGAAGGAAAAAAGTCATCTGAGCAAACCATGGATGGACAGAAGACTTGCCTAGTTTAAGGAAAAGAAGGATGGGTGACATGATAGCAGTTTTCCAATATCTCAGGGCTTGCCACAAAGAAGAGATGTGAAAAAGATGTTGAGACTCCAGAAAGAGTGCAGAGAAGAGCAACCAGGATGATGAGGGGACTGGAGGCTCAAACATACGATGAACGGTTGCAGGAACTGGGCCTGTCTAGTCTAGTGAAGAGAAGGACCAGGGGAGACAGGAGAGCAGCCTTCCAGTATTTGAGGGGCTGCCCCAGAGAGGAGGAAGGGGGTCAAGCTATTCTCTAAAGCCCCTGAAGGCCAGACAAGGAATAATGAATGGAAACTGAACAAGGAGAGATTCAACCTGGAAATAAGGAGGAATTTTCTGATAGTGGGAACAATCAACCCATGGAACAGAAGTTGCCTTCGAAAGTCGTGGGAGCTTCATCCCTGGAAGTTTTCGAGAAGAGGCTGGACTCCCATCTGTCAGAAACGGTGTAGGGTCTCCTGCTTGGATAGGGGGTTGGACTAGATGACCTACAGGTTCCCTTGCAACTTTGTTAATCTAATCAGAAATAAACAGTACCCCAATTAAGGAACTGCCAACTCAAACAAACAAGTGAATAGCCTAATGAAGGAACCACCAAAAATATTCCTACCAACACTGACAGGACAAGCCACAAGTATACAAAACGAGAGCAAACCCCACTCCCCTTCTAGCACTGATGATGTTACCTAGTTGGGTAATGAAACGCCTGCAAGTTCAGGGACCATCAACAACCCCACAGAACGTTGCTTTTTATCCAAGAAATTCTCCCAACAATGATAAAACATAATTTCTCTCATCCTAGCAAATCCTCCGTGATTTTGTTCCACGTTTAACAAATATGAAGAGACTGGACTTTCCATCTGTCAGAAATGGCGTAGAGTCTCCTGCTTGGCCGGGGGGTTGGACTAGATGACCTACAAGATCCCTTCCAATTCTGTCCATCTGTTAAAAGTTAACAGCTCACAGTGAGCACCAGAATCAAATGGGGAATATAATGAAAATATTGTTGGAGGAGTCAGGGACTCCCACAGACCCACAGTTTCAAAATTGTCACCCAGTCCTTGTGTCTCTCCACGGCAGGAGAAGATCGCGGCCAGAAGAAACAACGTGGTACATAGAACCAGTCGGTTCCCCTGTTCCCTCACAACTCCATTCTCAGCCCAGCCAGAACGGTGAGTCTCTTCTTTTTGATCAGTTTCGTTGCAATTAACGGCAGTCCTCAACTTAACAACTGTGTCAGGATTTCGGCAGTTACTCCAATTAAATCATGAGCCTCGAGCCGCACTCCCAAAACTTGAAAGGATTTATTAGAAGTTAACATGCCAGCATTGCCCTGGGCGTAGCCGACTCTGAGATACGTAATTCACTGTCACCCTTGATCTTGCTTTTCCCCCCAACCCTCTGGGTGTATCATAATTCATATTCTCCAACAAAACACATCCATAGCCAAGAGTCATAAATCATGCTCTCTAATTAGATTTTTTTTCTTGGCGGAAGCTTCAGCCATCTAATCAGTCTTTGAAGAAAATATGAATGGAATGTACTTTCGATTCTACACTGCTGCCTGCTCTTTGAGACTCTCCCCCACTTCTTTCTGTTGACAACTATAAAACGTGTATACAAAATGTTTTATGAGTTGACAAATTGTTTTGGTTAGTGACCGTTCCAAGTTAAAACAGCCCTGAGGGGGGGAAAAATGACTGATGACCATTTTTCACACTTACGACCATTGCAGCATCTCCCCTGGTCACGGGATCGAAATTCGGACGCTTGGCAATGGGTTCATATTTATGACACGGTCACAGCGTCACTTGATTCCCCTTTTGCGACCTTCTGATTAGCCAAGTGAATAGGAAAGCCAAGATTCGCTTAACGACGCTGTTCGTAATTTAACAACTGCAGGGATTCACTTAACAACAATGGCAAGAGAGCTCATAAAACGGGACAGACTCGCTTAACAACTCTCTCTCTTAGCAACAGAAATTTGGGGCTCAACCATCGTAAATCGAGGTCTACCTTATACTTCCTAAACCAAGGGTCTTCAAACTTGGCAAATTTAAGACTTGTGGACTTCAACTCCCAGAATTCCTGAGCTAACATGACTGGAGGAGGAGGAATTCTGGGAGTTGGAAGTCCACAAGTCTTAAAGCTGTCAATTTTGAAGATCTCTGAACAGGTGTTAACCTGTGCAACTACCGTGTTTCTCATATAAGGCCGGGTCTTTTTTTTTTTTTTTGAGCCCCGAAAAAATGGCTAGGCCGTCTTTTCGGGGGTGACTTCCCCCCCCCTTGCATCTTCGGGCGGGTGGGCGGCGACGGCTTGGATGTTGACCTCGGCGTTAGTGGGGCACTTCGTATCAGGGTCAATGCAGGCAGCACCATATCCGGGTGTGCCACAAAAGTACTTCCTAACAGCAAGTCCCCCCACCATTCCCCCCCATTTCGCATGTTTTAATATAGGCCTTAATTTGGGGAGAGGGGCTTAATTTCATTTCATGCCTATAAAACATGCTGGGACTTCCTATTGGGGGAGGCCGTATTGTTGGAGAAACAGGGTACAACTCCCAGCAGCCAGTGAGAAGAGAGGGAGGGGAGAGCAGGATTGGCTCCTGGAGGATGGCAATAGGACCCCCTACTTTATTGGGTCTTCCAACTTGACAGCTTTAAGACTTGTGGACTTCAACTCCCAGAATTCCTCCTCTTCCAGTTATGTTAGCTCAGGAATTCTGGGAGTTGAAGTCCACAAGCCTTAAAGCTGTCAAGTTTGAAGACCCTTGGTTTAAGAAGTATAAGGTAGGCCTTGATTTATGAGGTTTGAAGACCCCTGTCCTAAACAGACATATAAAAATGTCCCAATAGTCATTTGTAGTTATTATATCACGAATTAGCTCTATTCCAAGCCAAAAATTAGTGTTAGAACACTAATTAGAAAAGGATAGAACATCTTAATTTTCGTCTTCCCTCCTCTTTATCTTTCCTTTTATGCTGGGCCTTTTTAAAAAAATATATTAACTAACCTAACCTTGTTTGTTTGTTTGTTTTCATTCTGGAAGCCCATCAAGGGAGGTTAAATATTTTCGAATAACTCAAATTGACAATTAAAGGGGACAATTTTTGATTTATTAGAATTACGATGACATCTACTGAATAATGAATGGAATTACAGTATGTGACAAATGTGACAGATAAAAGTAAATATGTATAATGAATATAGAAATGAAACAAGAATTTTAGATAATATTGTAAAACAAGATATGAGGATATTTAAAGAAAAATGAAATAAGTTACGATATGAACTGGAAATGGATAAAATAAGGTGCAATGAATATAAGAATACTTGAGAATATTTAAAGGAAAATGGAAAAAATAACAATATGATATGAAATTGAACATGAAAGATGAATATGTAATTAAGGTCACGTTTGTATTGAAATGTAAAAACCTGGAACCACATCGTTCACCCAAAGAGATGATTTTTTAAAATATACAAATAAAAAAACATTTTTTTTTGTAAAGGGAGGTTAAATATTTTAAGAGAAAGAAACAGACCCCGATCTATAGGCTAATGAGAGGAAACCCAGTCCAACCTGGGTTTAAATTGGAGTTTCATTTAAAGTTACTGCTTATCTTTTTCTTTCCAGGCGACGTTCCTGTCGTCAACTCTGCAGAAACCGAGGAGCCACCACTGGAAAGGCTGAACGGGCCCCGGCTCATCCAGAGAGTTTTACTCCGGGGTTCGGCCTTGCTGGCTTCCCTGGGCTTGGGCCGAGAGTTGCCAGTCCCTTCTCCGGAGGGGCCCATGGAGGGGCCAACTTCAAGGAAGCCATCTCCCCGAAGAGAGCCTACTCCTGCTTTACAGGTGGAGCCCTGCAAGGATGAGGCGGCCACTGATCTCCTCATTGAACTGGACTCGGTGGGGGACAGGACAGCCTTGCCACCTCTCTGGACACAAGAGTCACCCCGGGCGGCACAACTCGCGGAAGGCCGGACCACTAAGGCTCAAAAGTGGGGTGAGTGGCACCAGTCCAGCCATCTTAAGGCATGTTGGCTGGGGGATTCTGGGAGCTGAAGACCATTCATGTTAAAACACGATGGTTGGGGGATTCTGGGAGCTGAAGTCCACCCATCTTAAAGCAGGCTGGCTGGGGGATTCTGGGAGCTGAAGACCATTCATGTTAAAACATGATGGCTGGGGAATTCTGGGAGTTAAAGTCCATTCATGTTAAAACACGATGGTTGGGGGATTCTGGGAGCTGAAGTCCACCCAACTTAAAGCATGTTGGCTGGGGGATTCTGGGAGTTGAAGACCATTCATGTTAAAACATGATGGCTGGGGGATTCTGGGAGCTAAAGTCCATTCATGTTAAAACACAATGGTTGGGGGATTCTGGGAGTTGAAGTCCACCCATCTTAAGGCATGTTGGCTGGGGGATTCTGGGAATTGAAGACCATGTTAAAACACGATGGCTGGGGGATTCTGGGAGCTGAAGTCCACCCATCTTAAAGCATGCTGGCTGGGGAATTCTGGGAGTTAAAGTCCATTCATGTTAAAACACGATGGTTGGGGGATTCTGGGAGTTGAAGTCCACCCAACTTAAAGCATCCTGGCTGGGGGATTCTGGGAGTTGAAGTCCACCTATCTGCAATTTAGATGCACCCGAATGTCTTCCCTAGAATCAATTGCAGCTTTTCTCTTCCCCTCTTTCTGCAGATGGCGCTTTCCCATCTCCCTCCTCCCCCCCCCACCCCCCGTCCCCCCCCCCCCCCCCTCCACCCAACCCTCATTTCCCGCCCCCGTCCCTCCCCTCTCCGCAGCCGGATCGACCCCTGGAGCTTCGTGTCGTCGGGATCCCGGGCCTCGCCAGCGGTCACCCCGGTCCAGTCGCCCTCCCTGGGTCCACGTCACTTCAAACCACTCACTCCCGAAAGCACCAATCCTTTCGCGGCGCCCGTTTCAGATCCTTTCGCCTGGGGGGACTTTTCGGTGCCCGCCGACCCTTTTCTCGGGACCTCCACACGGGCTGCCCCAGGGACACTCGACCCCGCAGTTTGCTGGACCTCCAGACCACTCCCAACTCCGCCAGACGACTTGCCAGCCTCCTCCTGGTGGGGGGGGACCTCCTGCCCACGGGGAAACCCGGTCCCCAAATGACCAGGGACGCGCCATTTCTGGAAATACACCTGCCGGGCTTCACGGGACAGGGGCCGTGGCCTGTCGCGTGGCCAAAGATCCAAGGACCACAGACGGCTGTTCTACAGGGAAGGACATTTAAAAAAAAAAAAGACCTTGAACCTCGGTGGTGAAAACTTTGCTGGGGGGAGTCACACAAAGGGAGGAGGGGCTAATTTCCTCCCCAAATCTCCACTATGCAATGAACACTAAGCTGTCGCGGTCAATGTGGATTGCCTTGTGGTGCCCTTTTCCCCATTGCCATCCCTGCTCCTCCTGACAGGCAGCTATCTGGATTCTCACCTTGGCTCCCTTTCCTCCCACACCAGTGGGTCTTCCTCGTTTTCGTGGTGGGTGGGTGGGAAATCACCACAGTCCTAGTTAATTTTCTATTCCCTCCCTCCATCCCACCCGGGAAAAAATATGCAGCCAAGTGAGGCCTTTGCCCAAAGTTTGTCTTTTTGCACACCAAGAGAGGCAATGTGATGACCCAAAGAGGCGTGGCACAAAGGCAACACAGTCAGATGATCAGTAAGCTCCAACTGTCCTGGTTACCTTCTGGGCTGGAGAAAAACTCTCCCAGGAACAGCCTTTAACTGCAGGGAATCCAGTCCAAAACGTGGTCAGCAAAAACTGGAACTATAAGTCCAATCAAGGCAAAATGAGGTCATTAGTCAGGCAGGGCAGGAGAAGGAATTCCAGACATGAAAGAACGGCAGTAAATCAACCCAGTTGGGAGGATGCCAGGAACACAAGATAACCAAAGTCAACACAAGATAAACTCATGTTTGCTCCCAGCAGCTGCCGCACTCAGCATGCATCTCTTTTAAACTCTCTTCCCAGCTGCAGCTAATGAAGGGAATCAGGGCCCTTTCCTCCCCTGTAAGCCACCCAACCCACATTGCTCCCTTCTCCGTTCCTCCCTGCATGCCCTAGGATGAAGAGGGCTCTGAACTCCCTCTCCCTTGTTCTACCTCTCCCCTGCTGTGCCCAGCCAGACTTTGCCCTTCCCCAGTTTTCTCCACAGCCAACGGAGCCACACTCCCACTCCCTGTCAGCTGCTCGGCTTCCTCCTCGGATTCAGACTCCGACAGGGGCACGACAGCCAAGGGTAACGGGCAGGGGACCAAATGTGGGGGCAGGTGTTCGTCAAGCGGGCCCCTCCTCAGCCCTTGACTTGAGGCCAAAGCGAAAAGCAGAGGAAATTCCCACACCCCCAAAAGCACTTTGAGTGTGCAATTCTACTGTGTCTTCTTTCCCCTACTTGAAATTCACACGTGTGCCGGGCTCCCTCTGACTTCCTCCTCCATATATGTGCACGCATGCACACACTCCTGTGAGCAGGGTGGGAGTGGGGAGCCAACTGTGTTCAGGACTGTCCCAGCACCGGACGGGCCGAGCCTGTGAAACGAGACCAAATAAACCTCCGGATATATTGCCATTGTGCGCAGGTGTCTGTTTGGGAATTCGGATCGGCTACAAAATAAAAGGAGGCGATTGAGCATTGTTGCGCATGGAATTGGGTGGCATCCGCATTGCGCTTATGCCACCCTCCTTATACAGGGAGTGTTCGAACTTTAGTTCATTTAGTGACCGTTCTAAGTTCCAAGGGCCACTGGAAAAAAGTGACTTATGACCGTTTTGTCACCGTTACAACCCCATGCTCGTGGGATCAAAATGCAGAGGCTTGGTGACTGCCTCATACTTATGGCGGTTGCCGTGTCCCAAGGTCACAGGATTTTCCCCTTTTGGGACCCTTGGGACACAAGCCAAGTCGATGGGGAAGCCAAATTCACTTAATGACCTGGGTTACCGACTTAACAACTACAATTATTCGCTAGGCCAGACAAGGAATAATGGATGGAAACTGAACAAGGAGAAATTCAACCTGGAAATAAGGAGAAACTTTCTGACAGTGAGAACAATCAACCCATGGAACAGAAATTGCCTTCAGAAGTTGTGGGAGAGTCATCCCTGGAAGCTTTCAAGAAGAGACTGGACTGCCATCTGTCAGAAATGGTGTAGGGTCTCCTGCTTGGGCTGTGGGTTGGACTAGATGACCTACAAGGTCCCTTCCAACTCTGAATCTGTTATATACTATCTGCTTAACAACGGTGGCAAGAAAGGTCGTGAAATGTCTCGCTTAACAAATGTCTCACTTCACAACGGAAATGTTTAACTTTTAACAGATTGGCAGAGTTGGAAGGGACCTTGTAGGTCATCTAGTCCAACCCACCCCCCAGCCAATGTTGGGCTCCCTTGCGGTCGCAATTCAAGGACTTACCTCTATTGGCAAATGTGAGGAACTAGCTCCTTTATCCACAGCAGATGATCTCTGCAATCACAGATTTAAGGAAACCGGAATTTCTGTTGCTAAAGCGAGGCTTTGTTAACTTTGTCCCATTTGATTTTCCGACAGCCTGGTTATTAAGTGAAGCACTGCGGTTCTTAAGTGAATCGTGCGGCTCACTTAACTTCACCTCTGAGGCTGTGAATCCATTTGCAAAAATGAATTGGGGAGGAGGGGAATCCCTGACATTTTTTTGCCCTCCTCTGCTTCAACTAAAACATTGCAATAAATTTAAATTTGCTGCTGAAAGCAGGTCATGTGCCTTCCTACCACCAGCGAGGAAAGGAAAGGATATGGTTACAACCTGATAAGGAATTTTGTTTTCTAATTTATCCATCCTTTGTGCTGCGCGGCAGCTGGTTATCATCCCCTTAGCCAAGTTTCCAGGATATCCTGAGGGGTCCCCAAAATCTTTTTCCCAGAAGGAAGGACATCAGCCTGCCCAACGATTGTTCTTCTAATATAAATACTGATCTGTAGATAGGAACTACTACCGCTGGTATATAGAATACTACACCTAGAATACTGCATCCACTTTTGGTCACCGCACTGTAATAAAGGCATTGAGACTCTAGAAAGAGTGCAGAGAAGAGCAACTAGGATGATGAGGGGACTGGAGGCTAAAACAGGGTCTTATTTTGTCACTAGAATAGAATACAGCTGGAAGGGACCTTGGAGGTCTTCTAGTCCAGCCCCGTGCTCAAGCAGAACCTATACAATCTCAGACAAGTGGCTGTCCAGTCTCTTCTTTTTTTATATATTAAATTTTATTGGTTTTTGAAAACAAACATAAACAAAACATAAAAACATCAAGCTATCTTCCATAGGTGTACATACAGTGTGCCGGTTGGTTTACAAATTGTTTTTGTGCTTCCATTTCGTAGTCTTCAATTACAATTACATTACATATAATCTCAGGTTGGATGAAACCTCACTCAAGGTTCTTATCAATAAACAAACACGATTCCTCTAATTCTCGTGATGTCATCAAATACAGTTTAGGCTTAGGGAGCTTCACCCCTGGCAGAATCTCAGTGCTGCAATGTGTAGGGGGTGACCGCATCCAGCGCTTCCTCACTAAAAACCTCCCTTAAGTCCCGATACTCTTCAGGGATTTTTTTCTATCCCACAATGCTTCCACTGCCCATCGATGCCAACTCTGTGGAATTCTGGGGCTTTCTTAGAGA